GAGGAGGGGTCACCGCGACGAGAAAATTAATGCCTCACGGGCGTACACTGTCGGTGCGTATGTAGGTGATCGCCTAACGCCGGGTACGAAAGCCGGTCTATAGGGCTGAGGGACCATTCACTGCTGGGCCCATTGCTATCAGGGATTTTGCAGTTCAAAAGTCTAATAATGCATGATCAGAGTTCTATTTTAACTAACTTGCACCCCTTGTTGATACTGAGAGACAGACACAGCTACACTTACGTAGGTATTTTGATTGACCAGCTTACAGCTGGTTGCCCAGACCCGTACGAATTGTGTTCTTGTGGTGGATAACGGACATTTTTGTCAGCCCTTGTACTTTAAACTTGTTCTCCTTCACAGGTTCAGCTTGTGCATATTCACCTACCTTCTCTGTTCCTGTCCGCCAATCTGGATTCTCGAGCTACATCTCACCCAAAAGATGAACAACATCACGGAGGTTGCAACTGAACAAACGGAATCTAATTTTTCAAACACCTCTGACAAGGTGGGTTGCCTATTTGTTAAAAACCGTGCAACGGCTCCTTTCTCCTATTTTGGTAGACGTCAGCCCTAGGGGGAACACGACTTTTCAAGTGACCATCAGTAGGCATTCAGAATCCGAAATGGTCGGATAGAATGAATAAAGAAGAAGAATGCTATATTTAGGATTGAAAAATCCTGAATTTTCAGCGAAAATGGCTCCATTCACGGAGAGCAAAGGATAAGGTAACTAAGGGGTCACGGTAAAAGGTCATGTAATCCTCACAATTCAAGTTTTACACGATATCCACATCAACTATGGAGACAGCTCAGCTTGCAACTTCGCAGTTTCCGCTCCTTCACACGTGAGGTAGCGTGCTAGGAATGAGAGTACCGAGTGCTGATATGCCGATGTGCGGCAAGACATATGACGGAAACCTCGACGCATGGGACGGGAAGAGTTCACAGTCATTATTTCAGAGTGCAGAGGGTGAGCGACCTCATTAAGGATGCGATCAGCAAATTGCTTGACCGTTTTTAAGTGGCGCTGTATTATAATGTCAGCTAAAAACATAGGAAATACCGGCAGCTGAAGTGAGGCTACGTTTCAAAATGACTAGGTCTTTTTTAAGTAAGGCTGGAAAAATAGCCGGAGAGCAGTATAGAATGAGGGGGAGGATACAGTGCCACGTTTTGACACTTTTACTACCTTATAGAGCATAGAGTTTTTTTAGTGCATTAGAACAGTAGGAAGTAACGTTTGAATTTTGTGTTAAAGATAGGTCAGTGTTTTATTTAGACCTATTAATTACCTAATGGGACTTGAATGGCGGATGACTTTGTTAACCCCATTCGGTCGTTCCTCAGTGTAAAGGGGACTCAGACTAGATTATATCTAATTGGGCTATTTTAATCTACCCTCGAAAGCTGCATCATCTGCCCATTCCTTGGGGTGTTTAAAAATAAGCTGGTCAGGGCATTTATTTGGAGGTTTTTTTAGAAAACGTCGACTCAGCGATAATAAATGTCAATTCTCAGAGCAAGTAGGCCGCATTACATTTACGTGTCCAAATACCTGACTGTTTTTTAGTAAACAGCCGACTCAATTTTTTTCTGAATGGCAACTGAATTCCCTTGCGTTCTACTACACATCGCTGTAGAAAACTCGCTGCTGAAAATTTCGAAATGTTCCTTCAGTCTTGATAAAACTTGTGAACCCAAAAAGCATATCTCTTATTGTTACAGTGAGTGCTTTTTCACAGTTTGGCATTCTATGTGCTCTTTTATACTTTTTATTTCCAACCCCTTTCTACTATCTGAAACTTTTTTCCTTCTTAGGTCAATATACCTGCACGGCTGGCTCAAAAATATGCTGCCCAGGTTAGCTTTAAATAGTCCTATTGCATGCATCTATGTCTCTTGTCTGGATGTGGTTGGTGTCTGATTTTATTCCATTAAATTGCACACACGTTCGCCTCCTGAATGCCCGAGGAAATTTATGCAATTGACCGAGGTCCATTTTCCCACGACATTTTGCAAAACGTGAAGCCATACCTACCGAAAAGGGATCTTAAGAAGTAAAAGTTCCAGATGTTTGACCTGAGACAGATACGCCAAGCCTAACAATTTTTCCACATTTTTCTACCTGGTACAGTTGATTGAGAAGAAAATTTTGAATACATTTCCCTGCCAGTTAGGGAAGGAATTGCGGATAAACGTTCAGTACGCGGCATTTTAAAGTCGGGTTGGAAAATCTGAAGCAGAATTCGCCTCGATGACAATTTAGAATAGCTACGTACTGCCCATTCCGCAAAAAGTAGTATTATCGCAGTGGGTTAAGAAAAGATCCCTGCCACTGCGAAATTTAGACTCTGGTTCCGTGTGAGAAGAGGATAAGTGAGACACCAAATGGGAGGAATAGTGTATTTTCTATATCTTACGACCGGATTAATAGGCCGGAGAAGGCAAAGAGTCGGTTTCGATAACAGGAGCTTTATTCGAGACTACAAAGAGATTTATTTGCTTGTTAACCCCGGCGCACTTATAAGGCCCTGGTCTTTGTAGAAATATTCCCGGTGTATGGCGTGCGAACGAGCATTCCGGAAACTTTTAGACTGCAGCGTACCGCACGTCCATTGGCCACTTTCCACACTGTGTGGGTGGTCGTCACTTATGCTCGAAACAACGGCGTGGGCGGCTTGTCTGCGGGCATGACCCCATTGGCGTTTACTTCTCAC